GTACAGCTGTGTGATGCTGCAGCCTCTCCTAGAAACAACCAACCAAGGATATGGTAAATTCCCCTACCGTCCCACCACACATTCTTCCCTTATTCTATTGGGCAGACGTGGGAATTGCTTTTTCAGGATTTGCAATGAGCTAGCTTGAACCATTTGTATTTGTTTACTCCAGCCTACTAGGGAGAAGAGTAAGTTGGATTCTCCTGCTATAACTTTATCAGTTTTACTTAAGTTCTATAATAGCTAGACGTCTTTAGTGGGCATGTTATATGTGTGTGTGTGTGTATTGAAGAAAATTTAAGGGTCTCGGTTACTCCATATTCTATCAGATAATGAGGTCCCCTAATGGCAATTTGAATCAGTCAATGGCCATTACCCTGTTGTTCAGAGTACCACTGGGAACACAGCCAAACTTGTCTGCCTTTCTCTCTAATCGAGTGTACTGGAGTAAACCTTCCTTTGTCAGTATTTGCCACTGGTGATGAGGCCCTCTCTGAGTCGAACTCCCTGTAAAGCAAAATCTTTCTCTGGTTAACAGAATTGCTGGATGAAAAATCCAGAAATGCCAACTTGAAGTGACTTACATTATGAAAAGCTTACAAAACTGCTTGTCTTTTATTGCAGCTACTAAATCATGATGGGGAAGGGAAAGAAAGAGAATTTCAAAAACAACTGCCTTTTATTTTTATTTTCCCAGAGAGGTTTCTGTGATCTCTTTATTAGACACAATATGTGTCAGCTATTCAACTCATAAAAAAGGAGAAAAACATGCCAAGAAAGGAGAAATATTTTCTGTTTCTCCATTCCTGTGAAAACGTTGAATGAGCTCATCTGTGTTCTCTCCTTTCAATGAAAGATATGCTCATCCCTCATCTTCTCATTTTCCATTGATGATGTCAGGCAGGCCTTGCAGTATCTCTTTTGTGATCTTATAAAATCAATGACAACCAAAAACATTTCCCTTCTGGCTATGACCTCATCAGTGGTCTACACCTGGACAGGCTCCATCTGCATTGGTAAGTAGAGCTAAACTCCACTGATCCAGACTGAAGCAATTTACCAGGAAACTACTGCTTTCCTTCAAAATGCTCCCTATGCCATTCAATATGGAAGATTTTAAAGCAACTTGGCTGAGTGCTGAATACAACTAGTCAAGATGCACAACTAGTCAAGATGGCTCTCTAATCTTTATGCAGAAACTCTCCTTACTTAGCCCTGTTTTTACCTGGACAAAAGTCATCAGTACTTCAAAACGTTAGGTGGGTGACATTTGGGGATATTCTTATGTCCCTTCTTTCCTCCCTCTCCTCTACTGTATGCTACTCTCATCGATATTCTCAGCAGTGAAACAGGCATGCAATTTAGTCAGTTTAGCACAGAAAGTCATTTCTTGCCACTGGGTCTGGATGGCTATGAGTTTCCTGAACCAGAAAGGCAGATGGGGATACACAGGCCATCTCCATGCTGAGAGACACCCGCAGTGTACTCTCAAATCTCTGAGACTCAAAAGAAAAAAATCAACACATAATGCATGAGTTTGGGGAGAAGCAAAAGACACAAAAGACAGTATTTTACAGGCCCAAAGAAGGCAGAGCAGGAAGGTTTAGCTGTATGAATATGTTTAAAACTGATATACATGGTTGAATACAAATTGTAGAAAGACTAGTAATGGACCTACAATGCATCTGGAGGCAGAAGTGGCTACTCACTGAGTTCAAAGGATGGGGCAACTCAACGGGAGAGGTCTAGTTGTTGACCAGGGAAATTTCATTGGGCCTCCCTTTCCGTGGCCCATGTGAAATATTCTTCATCACTACCTACCTCCCTTGCTCTGAATCCAGACACTCCAACCACTTTTCAGGTGGCTAATTCAACCTTCCCGGTTGACAATGAGACAGTGAGACAGACACCGAGAGGTGCTCTACAAAGGGTTTATGAGCATTCTGGTCTCCGAAAAAGATTCTTCCCTACTATAAAAATAACTTGAGTTTTATTTTGTGCATCATCTTCCCTATAATAATTGCTAATAAATATTGAGTGCTTACTATATGTCAGACATAATTATAAGCATTTTACACGAATGAATGCATTTAATGTCCACAAGAACCCCCTGAGTCAAGCACTATCATCATCACCATTTTATAAATAAAGAAGCTGAATTGGAGAGTATAAATAAGTTGCTCAGGGTTATATAACTAGGAAATAAGTGGCAGAGCCAGGATTCAAATGAGGCTCCAGAGCCTGTAGGCTTATCTGCCATGCTATGTCTGCTCTTGTGAAATGCTAGGAGCAAATTTCCCTGCATCTGGTCAACTCAGGTGCATTGATGAGACCAAAGTTCATACACAGTCCTCATAAAATCATGGGGACACCTGAGCACTTTGAGCTTCAAAAAAAGTTTTTTCTCTTTTGGCCTGTATTCACACTGAACTGAAGGTAAACAAACAAATGGAAAAAAAAAAACAACCAAACCAAAATAAACAAACAAAAAACTCTGCAATGTCTTTAAAAGCACAGAGGCACCGAAATTCACCATGAGAATCTGATTGCAAGTGAGCTGACTCAGCTCCTAAGTCCATACTTGAAAAATTCATGGAAGTAAAGTTGGGCTAATGTTTTACACATTTTAGAATTGCTTTCAGGATGTGTTTCATTTTAGAAGAGCTAGAGAAAAAACAGAAAACATTTATTGAGTGTGAACTATGTGCCTGGCATTGGGCTAAGTGATTTTTCACACATGCAATCTTATTTAACCCCACAACAATCCTGTAAAATATTATTAATTTCATTTTTACGGATGAGAACAAAGATTCAATGAGGTTTTTACACTTTGTTCAAAGTCACACTGCTAATAAACAGTATACTTGGTCATCAAACTTAGAAATGCACCATACCCCTTTTGCCCCCAAATTTAGGTTATATTTAGGTTGTATTTTATATAACACCACCCGGGATCCCGATGTGTACATTTGAAGGAAATTGTAACTATCTTTCAATTCTAGGTAGTCATGTATGCATCTATTGCCTTCACTAGCCTGTAAACATTAGGGAGCAGAAAACTCAGGTCTTATTTATTTCTGTATATCAACAATACTTGGCCAAGGGTGTGCTTACAGCAGGAGCTAGTGAGCCCCTCAATACTGCAAGTGTAGACACTGATACAGGGGTAGATGACAATCCCAGTTAAAGACACAAATGCAATCCTCAAGCAACACATACATTTTGAGCCTTAACTTTTAGAGGGATTGTTTACCAGATTTGCCAGCAGACCTGAACAAACCGCACCACTGAAGCACAGGATGAAGCTCCCCCAGGCCCCGGGTGTGGTGGTGTTTGTGATCTACCTCACTGAGCGGCCCCTTTCCTCTCCTTCCCTGGTGCCTCTCTGGCTGCTCTGTTCCCTGGCTTTGAACCTTTTGGCAGCCTCCAACAGCCCCTCTTCAAAGGGCCGAAGACAAGCCTGATGTTTCAATTGCCTTGCTTAATTCCAGACAGGTTCCCATTAATCGTATTACATTCAGGTGAACAAAAGGTATTTAGTTTGTGACAGAGCTGAAATGTATCTGGATAAATATAAACAAGAGAGTTAATCCTGTAAGAGCCACTATTTGCCTGCAACTGGAAGGATGTCAGCAGTGCCCTTGCTAAGGGAGGTCGGAGGGTGGAAGGCAGAAGAGGTTTAACAAGACTGGTGCTGAGCATCTGGACTCTGTATTAAAGAGAGGAATAAAGCTTGTGACTGGAATACATTAGGAGAAAAGCAAATGTTCTATTCACAAAAAAATAGGCATTAATAATATCAGTCTTTAATCCACCCGAGGGCTCCTCAGCTTGCCTTATTCATTGTTGACTTTCATCTTCTCTGTAAAGCCTCCTGCTAAAGGTTCCTTCTCAGATCAGCTTTAGGTCACGGGGGCAAAAATACTTTTGCTAAACAGATATGCAAGGGAGTAGCATGTGTGACTGGAAAACAATGTGACAACATAATCCCGGCATGGACCGATGAGGTCAGTGTGGGGTGATGTTGGCTTTTCTAGCATCTACTGAATCATTTGATGGGGGCGGCAATTGAAAAGAATAAATACAAACACATGCAACATACCGCCACAAAGACTGCATGGCCCAGATCTGAGAAAGAGTCCTGTTTTGGTAGGATCAGTGGGGAATTGGAGGGAACAATAAGCTGGGAGTTAGACCTCAGTTCCCTTCTCCACACCACTAGCTGAGCGGCTGCGTGACCTCAGGTTACCTGGCCTGTGAGAAATGAAGGTCTGAGAATGGTCCAGCTGGTATGTATCTCAGGTCTTCTTTAGTTTCAAAGGCAAGGATTTGTCCTACAGAAGAGAGGTTTTATAAAAGTGCACTACCACAAGACCACCACCTTGGGGGACATTGTAATCTGAATCTCAATATTCCTAAGTAACCATGTGTAGGATGTTTTGCTTAGCTCTATGGATAAAGGCAAACTGTTGGCAGGTGCATCAGAGCAAGAGGCTGATATAAAACAGAATTAGAGAGAAGACTCCTGGCTTCGAACCATGACTATAGAATTCAAATTCCTCATGGGTCTTAGAGTGTTCTTCGTAATGGTGTAATAAGGAGAGAGGACAGAATCCCAAAAAGGCATTTAATAACCTCAGGTCACAATTAGGTTTCCCAACATGCTACTTACTTGTACACATTTCTTTTTCTCATGTTTTTTTTTTTTCCCCCTGCCTGGAATATTTCCCCCATCTCTGCTTATCAAAACTCTACTCGTCCCAATTCTAAGACCTCCCAGATGGAATGAAATGTCCTTGCACAACCTTTGGTTATCAGTTGGAGCACTTATTTAATTCTACCTCATTTCACACATCACCTCCATTTAATTATAGAATAAGCTTCTTGATGGCAGGGTATGGATCTCATTTATCTATGTGTTCCTGGGCCTGCTTGGCACGTTGTAGGCATCCACCCAATAATGGTTTCTGAATTGAAATGAACAGGAACTTTCACGTTACCTGCTAATGTGACAGCAATGGAGACAGAGTCAAATCCCAAGGCATTTGTGGCATTACAAGTGTAGAAACCCACATCAGCTTCCACTGGTGCCAGGATCTGTAAGGAATCATCTGGTTGTAGAAGAATCCTGGAACGACAGAAATGTAGACCTGGTCAGGTCAGTGGAGTCCCTGTTGACAATCAATACTGGTAAAGCAGGAAGGAACCTAAGGGATACTGAGAATCCTGTTTTAACAACAGGGACTAACCAGCCACAATGACACTCAGGAACCCAGGCTCTCTTGCCACTGTGATTGGTATAATTTTGATAGCAACCACCCCAAAAGGAGGTTTTTGATTGCTTATGCTGCTTATTGATTACTTGATCTAACTGCTACCAGTTGAAACAACATATGTGTGAATTCATAACACACACATCGGGACCGAGAGGAGAGGCTAAAATGAATGATGCAGATAAATCTGGAGAAGGACTATTAAGAAAAAGGCAAAGATATAAAGGAAAAATGGGGGCGTGGTTGGATGGTAGAAAGTAGGCACAGCTTCCAGAAGGCATCTGTTAAGGGTTGGAGGTGGGAGAGAGGAAGCCAGGATCATGTACTGATGAGAGGATCTTGATGTGTGCATTCGAAGGCAACTGTATGTGAAATGACCTCTTAATTCCAGATAGTCGTATGTATATTTACTGGCTTCATTAGTCTGTAAACATTCAGATACAAAATTCACATCTTATTTATTGTTTTAGTTCCCACAATACTTGGCAGAGGGCCCTCTGTAGAGAAGTTACCCAGGAGAATGAAGGCAAAGCCTGCCCCTAGGACCTTGGTAGAGACAATTCCAGAAAAATCATTATCTAGTTCAGACATTTTGCTTTACTTGAAGAGAACTGCAAGTATCAAATTGTAAGTGCCTGTGCCACAAGATTCAAAACCCACTCCAACCTCAGTCTATTATTTTTTCTTTTCTTGACTTAGGCCATTTCCAAGAACTATTTGCTACATCATGGCATTTAGACAGATTAATGACTAAAGATGACTTGAAGCTGAAATCTTGGTGACCTGGCAAGTATGACAATAACTGGAATATATCTGTGGAGGGAGGAATTCGGAAAGGCAGCGGGAAGCTCAGAGATCCAGCACCTGAACCTGGCAGGGCCTTAGGTTGGTAAATCATTCAGCAGCACAGAAATGGTTTAGAGTTGGCTTTTGGACTCTTAGAGTTAGTCATTTCCACCTTCATGATTATTTCCAACTCCCTAATTTCAAAAGGCTCAAAGATCTGGTCACTTAATATCACATTAACATCTATCCATAGAAGGCAAGCAGGTAGCAGGGGTTGTTCATCATAAAAGGGGCAAAAAATCATGACAACATCAGGAGAATTCACAAGACTTGGTGGTGAAATTAAGATTAGGAGTCAGCTCTCTTGCCCCAGCAACACATTCTATCGATTCTTTCTTCACTATTTCTTCAGACGTTATGGTATTTGCAGATCAGCACTACCTTTAGTTAGCTGTTAATTATTCTAAGGTGGGTGATGAGTCTGGCAATGAATCAGGCCTCCTCAAGGTTGTTTTTGGCCTTGGGCCAACTGCATTGCTTATTCTTACCTCCTGTCAGAGAGACGGCAGGAAAGAAGAAAAATAAGGCTTACATCATTCAGTCTTCAATCTGGTTATGTATGGGTAGTTGTGCTAAAAATGTTGAAGGAAATAGAAAACCCTAGCCAAAGGGAAGTTTCCGGATAGTTTGCGTTTAATTCAGTGCCATTTTAGACCATCGCTGCTATTACTGGGGACAGTCAGGCTTTTGTGGAGCTAATACTTTGTGAGAGATGAGAGAGAGGCTAGGAGAGATTGTGAAAGAACTCATCCACTCATTCAGTCACTCATCAATCAGATATTAGCTGTTTTCTCTCAAAGTCAAAAATTACTTGTTATTTTGTTAGTTTATTTCAGAGAAGCTAATAAGAGAAAGATGTCTATACAATTTACCTACCTTTGGTAAGCCATAAATATTTAAGTAATAATATGACTGTTTTCTAAAGGAATCTTAACAGATATATCACAGTATCATTGCTAAATCTCTTTAGGTGTTTAGGCTGCTTTAGATTATAAAAATTAAAAACTGACTTTATGACTTAAATCTATGATATCCCATATATGCCTTCATAACAATTTCCAAATAGAAATTAGGAAAGTAGGCTTAATCACATTTCAGTAGAACTGACTACTCAAGATGATTGAACTTAGAAGATCTTTATTCAATTTTACCATGCTCAAAAGGCAGACATTAAAATTTGCTAAATTCCCACGTCCATTGGGACAGTTGCTTTCCTAAAACCAGCATTTTTGTCTCCTCTACAGAAAGGTTTTTGAATTGAACATTCAAAGCAGGAAGCTAGAAGACAGATCTTCTGAACTTTATTTTGGTCCTGTTATGATTTAAGTAATCACCATTGGCAAATCCCTTCACCTTCCTGTTTTTTCAGTTTATCAGCTTCTAAAACCCAGTTGAAGTATGTTTTTGTACATAGCAGAGGGAACTGTTAAAATGAGGTTGAGATACCAGACCATCTCTTGGTATCTCCAATGACCCTTTTATTGATAATGTTGGAAACTCTGAATGGAGAATTAAATGTGAGGAAGGAGCGGGGTGGTGAGAAGATTGTGAGGAAGAAAACAAAAGGGGCACATGATATTGGCCAATTCCCTTCTCCCCCCGCCCCCTCCCATTTTAGTAAATTTAGTAATTGACATATTCAGGTCATTTTTCCCCCCATAGAACTATAAACTTGCCTGATCTCATGCAGAGGCTGTAAACCCCACTCTCACACTGGGCCTATTTCTTTTAGGTGAGGGCTAGCTTTTGTAGCTACGTGAGTTCCTCGAGGCACTGGTACTACTGAGTGAGCCATAATGCCTTTTGCCTGTATGAAGACTAGTAAAGCATACCCACAAAGTTGGTGAAGAGAAGGGAGGAGATCCATTACACCAGGCACAAAGCCATAAGGGTCTGAACTAGGACAGGAATAGTGGAAATGGAAAGAAACCTGGATCTTGAGATTTAGCATTCATATATTCTTTTATTCTGTAAACTGTCTATACAAAGATAAAAAGCTAAAGTATTTGCCTGCATAAAAAGTTTTAAATATTGTCTTTAGACAAAATTTACATGCCACAAAATCTAAATTTGTCATTTATTGTATAGACTTATAAATTATTTATATTTATAAAACTGAACTCTTTAGCTCAAGAATCCATAGTTCTTTAGTGGCAGAGTCAGGATTTAAAATAGGGCTTCTTGGTCCAGCACTTTGGCCCCAATCTATCCTGTCTTTAATAAGCCCATAAAATTGGTAGATGGGGGTTTGGAGGCTGCCGCTAGAGGGAGTGATAGATCTGGAGAGGGTTTCCATGCAGGGCTCTCTAGGAAACATGACAAGGCGAAGGAAAGGGCTTGCTGTGCAGTCTAAAGTTTGCTTTAGTCTCTCTCTCTAGCATGGCATCTAGGAAAAGAGATTTCTGGAAAAAAACATTGCCCTTGTATTTCAGATATCTACTCTATTAACTTAATTTGTTGGTAGTTGATTTCTGTCAGCTTGTATTTAGGTTTCAAGTTTGACAAGACTGTTTTAGAATGCACAGGCACAGAAACATTGTGCTGCTTTCCAAGCAAAACCAGAAAGATTTCTCTGGGGTCGTTTTGGAATTTAAGGAATCAGAGAATGAGGGGCATGGAATGGGGCATAATTAAAACATACATAGCAAATGGTAATGTGGTCACGTTAGGTATATTAATACTCACTGCTTTCCTTCCATACCCACACCACACTTTCGTTTTGGTTTACTGAGCTAAAACTTAAGACTGGTTACTCTTTTAGCTCGAAAATGAAGGAAAAATTTTGCTTTTCTGGTGGCCTTTACTTGGAAGCTTCTAAGCATGTCTTCTCAAGCATTCTACCAATTAATTAAGGAGCAGTTGAGAGAGTGCAAATAAATGCTTTAGTTGCATAAATAAAGCCCTCATCACCCATGTGAATAGGATATGGACCTACAAAGTACGAGCTCCTCGAGGTGAAGTTATTTCCTCTGCATTTGTAATATACAATGAGAAAGTACTCTTATTTGAAAAGATGGCAGCTCTGAGTGTCTAAAGGAAAGTTTCAAGCAATTCTGTGAGTTGGGTGTCAAAGTAAAGGGCTTTCTGTGGAGACTAAGGTCGTGATGCCTTCTGAATCCTTGGCTCAACTGTGAACACCACTGTCTTGTGCAGGTCCACCTCTCAAAATGACCTCCATGACCAACCATGTGAAGCTGCTATGAAAGGGGAGCCTTCCTAACTTTACTCAGGAGATGTGGAGTCATGTAAAGGACTTTGTGAGCCTCTAAGTCCCTTCTGCAAAATGAGGATAATACCGACCTGAATTTCTACGAGGATCAAAATAAAGGAGTATACAGACCCATTCTTACTGTCTTCTAAGTAAAAAGGCATCAGCTTAAACATCAAATGCATCTAATAAATTAGTATACATTTTTAATGGTACAGGTGATGGTAACCTATACTACCATTTGCAATTTCTCATTGAAATTTCCAGTTGTCAGAGGAAATTTTCAAGCTCTGGACATAAACATACCCATCGGCTACATGGGCTACGATGTTATACCATCTCAGGCCTCTCATCCTAACAAGTAAGCATTCTTAAACCCATTTTAGGCCTCGACACAGGACTGGAAGCTGGAAATCACAGGTATACTCTTTCTCTTTAGAATAGTATCTTCCTCAACTGTTCAAACTTACTTGCCCCGCATCCCAACACAAACTCCTCTCTCTAGTCAAGATAGCTTTTTTGATTCTCCTTGTTATTAGCTTGGGGCTGAATTCATGATTTCTCCTGTCTGTCTGTCCTTCCAAATTCTCCCTGTCCCTTAAGAATGAGTTCAAGTACTACCTCCTGTGTTACCACAGTCCACAAGAATCTGTCCCTTTTCTGGTCTTGCAGAGTTGTTCTGAGCTATACTACAAAGCCCTTTCCATTCTACAATATCTCATTTCTTCAGTCAGATTGTAAAATACATACTTCAAGGATCAGGACTCTTTTACTTCTTTCATAGTTCCCTCTGCAGTATTT